TCAGGAAACAGTTCCGTGATATGACGGCTACCAAGCGGGTAACCGTCGGCGCGGTGTAGGAACTGATTCCTGGCTAGGCTTGTAGAGACTGTTCTTACCTTAGTGTTATGTTTGCACTTTTGTAGCTTACATAATCAAGTTACCTTTTCACCAGTTACCAGTATGAGTCTGAGTACTCAGCAGTTTTCTATCATATTTCCTCTCCTCTGAGCCTTGAGCCTGGTCCAGAAACCCTTTAGGGTCGAATAGCAGCTAGGTTCTGCAAGACCCAACACATTGTTCTGAATCACCATCAGAATTGTTGTACCCACAGCGGTCTCGGTAAACAAATTATCAGGACACCCCGCAACGGAAGAATGGCTCAGCACATATGATGGTGTCCGCATGTGAAGCAATGATGGCAAAGTTGTTGCTGACCACTTCGCACCTCTGCATTGTATTCATGCAGTAACATATGGTGGACGGGTATTAACCTGCATTCTTGATGAAGGCACCAAGGTTGTTGTTATGCCGCGTGCGATATGGCAATCATTAGGCATCGGCTTGCGCTCAGATCATAAGCTCAATATGGAGTCAGTAAACATGTCCCACAATGCTACACTTGGCATCATCGAAAATGTCCCGCTCGATTTTGGTGGCGGTCCAATGTACTTCCAAGTACAAGTGACCAACCATGCGACATTTGAAGTTCTCCTTGGTCATCCATTTTTCAAACTATCATCATGCCACACTAACGATCTCCCTAACAGGGATCAAGATATTGTCATCACAGATCTGAACACCTGCAAAGAATTGCGCCTCCCGACCCTGCCATGGGTCAAGCACTGTGACCATTGTCTCAATGGCGAGCATTGCACTGAGCACTCCACTAAGGCGAAAGCCGAGGAGAAGGGCTTTTAGGTATCGATGATCTGCAGTTGCCGTGGGGAGACATTTACCCGCCATTATTATATTCTGCTAACCATGCTTCTTCTTCGCATTACGTTCTGCATTTCCATTCAAGTCCTGAAGCGCCACAATATGCATGCGCCGAGGGCAAAGCACTACTGCTCTTAAGGAGCAACATTGCATCACCCGCCACCATCATCCGTTTCTCTTCTGTCTCCGCTTCAATCGGCACATTACGCGCATCACCCGCCACCATCATCCATTTCTCTTCCATCTCCGCTACAATCGGCGCATTGCGCACATCTAACATCCACCAGATCAGTCATTAATAAAGCGACCATTGACACTTTTAATTCATGGTATTATTATGACTGTGATCTGCATGCACTGGTATATAAACCAGTCGCAAAGAAAGTCTGCACGGTACCGACAGCTATGCCGGCTGAGTATAGAATCGTGCGGCAATTGCCTGAAGACCCGCTCGCTGGCTTGCCAGAATTACCCGCTCACCCCCCAGATTTTGTTCCAGGTACCCGCTTCATGCAAGAAAGAGCTGACAAGCTCGATCTTGACCCCGCCAAATGGCTATGGCCAGAAGAACTCAAACTAGTCCAATGGCTAGTCCACACACATGAACTCGTGTTTGTTTGGTGCGCCACCGAGTGTGGCCGCCTAGACAAAAAGTATTTCCCACCATACAAGATACCTATGGTCCTGCACATGCCTTGGAACCAGTGCAACATCCCAATTCCGCCGGCTATCGTCGGTGAAGTCATTTGTATCATCAAAGAAAAGATCTCCTCAGGTGTATATGAGCCATCAACAGCTGCATATTGCTCTAGATGGTTTTGCATTGTTAAAAAGGATGGCAAATCACTATGGCTAATTCATGATCTACAGCCACTTAATGAGGTAACAATCCGAGATGCTTCGCTACTGCCTTTTATAGAGCATTTGGCCGCCACTTTTGTGGGCTATGTGATATACATGATCCTTGACTTATACGCAGGATATGATCAGTGAGCGCTGCATATTGATTCGTGCAACTTGACTACCTTTCGGACACTGTTAGGCCCCCATCAACTAACCACATTGCCACAAGGACATGGTAATGCCATACAGGTATATCAGGGAGATACTGCCTTCATCCTACAGCACAAGATTCCAGAGTTTACATCGCTGTTTATCAATGATGTGCTGATCAAATCAGTCAAGATGTGTTACCAGAACACCAACGGTACTTATGAAACCATACCTGAAAATGCTGGCATCTGCAGCTTCATGTGGGAACACCTCATCGTAGTTAACTGCATCCTCCAGCAGCTAGAAAATGTAGGTGTGACAGTATCCACGACAAAGTTTGTATTAGCCATGCCATTGACAGTCATCATTGGGCATAAATGCATGTTCAATGGCCGAGTCCTGGAAGACTCAAAGGTTGAAAAGATTCATAATTGGCCAGAGCCGAAGACTCAGATGCAAGTGCATGGGTTTTTGGGCACTTGTGGTGTCCTTCACATATTCATCCGTGATTTCGCATGCATCACATGGCCGCTTACTAACCTCACCAGGAAAGATGTACCGTTCGAATTTGAAGATGAACATCATGAAGCAATGGACCTACTCAAAACCGCAGTCATTAACTCGCCGGCATTGCACCCAATTGATTACCATAGTGGCCAAGAAGTCATTCTATCGGTAGACACATCCGCCATTGCAGTTGGCTATATCCTGCTTCAAGTCAGCGAAGATGGCAAGCGCTATCCAAACCACTTCGGCTCTATTACACTCAGTGAAGTTGAAAGCCATTACTCACAAGCAAAGCTAGAGTTATATGGACTCTTCCATGCATTGCACGCTGTGCGCATATTCATCTTCGGCGTGACCAACCTCACAGTTGAAGTCAATGCAAAGTACATCAAAGGTATGATCAATAATCCAGATTTGCAACCCAATGCGACCATAAATCAATGGATCACATGTATTTTTTTGTTCCCAATTAATCTTGTTCATGTACCTGCCGCAAAGCACAAAGGCGCCAATGGTCTCTCAAGGAGACTGGCCACTGATGACGACGTACCAGAAGATGATGATCATGAGGATTGGCTAGACTGAGCCTATTCCTTCGAGTTGACCCTGCTCAATGACCGCATGTTCACAATAGAATCCACCAGGACACATATCACATGAGCAGCACACCTAGCGCCAATCATGACACTGCTGAACCACTTACCTGTTTTGCATATCTTTCTAGATGACGTTGCTCCACCAACTGACAAGCAGATTATCCTGCATTCAGAAGCCACTGTTGCACTACATGCAAAACTTCTCGGCATCAAACATTTTCTGATAACGAGCAAGCACCTGACAGAACTATCCAATGAAGATTACACCACACTAGTTAATCAGGCAGTGAGATTCTTTGTACTCGACGGCAATCTATGGCGCTGCAAACATCACAGCAAACACCAACTCGTCCTGGTGCCGCCGAAGCGCTATAATATTCTCAAACAAGCACATGACGACTTAGGTCACAAGGGAGTATATGCGATCTGTGTTCAGCTAATCTTGCATTTTTGGTGGCCATTCATGATGGATGATATCAAATGGTATGCATGCACATATCACGAATGCCAAATAAGGAAGATGTGCAAGCTCCATATCCCACTGATGGTGCTGACGCCTGGTGGCTTGTTCTGCAGAGTGCATATCAACACCATGAAGATGCCCTGGGTGGGTGGTTTTGAGTATCTCATTCAGGCGCATTGCACGCTAACATCATATCCAGAATGGCGCATGCTGCACAAGGAGAATACAAGGTCGCTTGTGGCTTTCATATATGAAGAGATCCTCTGCCGATGGGGTCCAGTGACCGAGCTAATTACTGATAACGCCCCCACCTACAGACTCACTGCTGACATGTTAGCCAAAAAATATGATGTCCATCCGATACATATTTCACCATATAACTTGCAAGCAAATGGCATAGTCAAGTGGTGGCATCGCAACATTCGCAAAGCTATCATGAAGACATGTGATGGTGATGACCTGCAATGGCATCAAGTCGTTCATTCTGTGTTCTGGGCTGAGCATGTCACCATTCATAAGTCTACAGGTTTATCACCCTACTTTATGGTGCATGGCATAGAGCCAATATTTCCTTTTGATCTTGCTGAAGCTACTTTTTTTAGTGCTGACACCTGCGCACAGCATATTCAGCACCGCTGATCTTATAGCATGGTGCGCACACCAATTACAGAAGTGTATCGAAGATATTAGCGAGATCCGAGATAAGGTAGTACAGGTGTACTTCACATCAGTGCACGAATTTGAGAAGCATTTCCACAATACCATCCATGACTATGACCACACGCCCGGCACTTTAGTGTTGGTGCGCAACTCCAAGGTCAAGTATGAGTTGAGCAAGAAGACAAAGCATTCTGTATCACCCATGCAACGGCGAGCACATTATGGTAACAAGTGTCACCAGAAAAGATAATGAAGTGTTAGACCGGCTAGCCGATGAAGATATTGAAGAACCAGACAAAGATGAACCAGAATGTGCGCAAGATGATTAGCGCATACACCCCTTCCCACATACCACCCAACACTCTACCCATAAATCACTGCTCCCGCATCAATGAAATAAAAAACACCCAAAACATCAAATAACAAGAATACCGCAAAAATATACTGCTATAGTACATACTCTCTGTTTTACCCCGTGTTTCGGCTGGCGATCATTTTCTCTCTTTTTCTCATATAACCACACATATCCAACAGACTCTATCGTTACTGCACCACAAGCCGCAAATAATAATAATAATAAAATCAAGTATATATATCATGCATATCATCACAATAGATGTGCGTGCATAATCAACCCCCTAGACTTTTCCTTTCTAATGTGCACTGCCACACTACACACATTTACTATAGACTTATGGATCTCATCACTAGTCAAGCTGCATCATCGGTGGCACAAGCAGGGATAGATGCGATAGCCACACAAAGAAGATAAGATGGGCACATACTCCACGAACGTTCTGTATTCATTTCTTCACTGCTTCTCACTGCCACACCTAATTACTTACTATCATTTTATTATGTCTCTAGCCCAATGGACCCAACGGATCTGGACATGGGATGTGGACATGGACACACACACGGATGGCTCTCAGGGAACACACTATTATATTCCTGGAACTTTACTCTATTTGGCGCTACAAGCGCAGACTATTATGCTAATAGTACAGAAGGGAAAAGAAACTATTCTACAGAGTATATCTAATGAAAAAGTTTGGTGATCTCAACTTCTAGGGCACACCGACAAAAAAGCCTTGTTTGACGCAAGGAGCTGTTTGGCTTCCTGCGCCCGCACATGTTGGCATGCATGGATAAGCACCTCGCCATACCATTTGGTGCAAATGCGCAGCTCCTCATTCTCCCCCCAAAGCTATGCAACCTCGAGTTGGAGCGCCTCCAACTCATCATGCTCTGAGGTGTCCAGCTTGCATCTTGGTGTGGGTGCAGGATGCTTTGGAAGCAGCAAGACAGGGCGTGGCGGAACCATCTTCGAACCACACACAAAGTCTTCATTGTCGTCAATCCCCTCCTGAATCTCTACCTCCATCTCCACTTCTGGCTCACTCTCAGAAGGTTCCACATCATTAGTGGTCATGGCAGGAATCATTGGCCAAGCCAAAATCATTGAACTGGTGCGCACTTTCTTCGTGGGTGCGGCACCTTGAGGCAGGGCAGTACATGTCCTAGCCTGTGGTTTAGCCTTAAGCTTTGTCCTCGGCTCAGTTTTTTTATAAAAAGAGATTTGGATAAGTTATCTGTGACACGCATAATAAGTAAAAGAGAAACACTTACTGGTGAACGAACACGCCTGCTTTATGCCAGCACAGTAGGAGCATCTGATGCCAGGCGAACTGTCACACAGGCCAGGACAGTTCTGGCACTGCACGTATTTCTCCTACATCAGACATGCGGCTGCTGGGTCGCTACCAATATCATGAGCCATAAGCAAACAAATACACACAACAAAGGTACTTACTGGTATGCCCATATTGGTGACCTCCTTGGCCGGCGCAGCGGCAGGCAAAGACTCCTTCTCCACGGCTGTTGTGTCACCTGCATTGTTAGCAGGCACAACAGACTTCTCATGCGGTGGCTTGATCACCTTCGCCTTCCATCCCTTCACCAGTCTCTCCAGCATCTGGTACTCCTTCTTACTGTCCTCAAGGGCCTCCATGCCCTGAGCATCCAAAGTCAATTTGACCTGAGAGTCTTGGGCATGGCCGAAACACTTGCTCATTTGTTCCTAGTCGGTGGCATCAGTAAAGAGTAAGGGGGCACAGGAAAAGCACAGAACACTCACTAGAACAGTTCTCTAATCCCGCATCCAAGTCTCCTGGTCCTCCAGCAGCTCTTCCTTAACTGCGGGGATGGTCAGTGCACATGTGCAAGAGACACAGATTTTAACTCTGGTGACAACTTGACTAAGACCAATGAAGATCAATGTCTGAGATGCTGTCTATGAGAAAATGTTCAAGACATGTTCTCATAGAAAAAATGTAACATTCAATGGGTTTCAAACCTGTTGCATTCCAATAGAAACAGATTTTGATTCTGTCATGACAACCACTCGGCCAAATACAACTTTGATCAGCTTGCAAGCGAACCAACCATCAGCATATTTCAAGGTGTGATTTCATATTCAAAAAAATGTCACAACTGGCAGGTTTGAAACCTGCATCCAACTGGTCTCATATCTAAGCAGTTAATACAACAGAATCTAAATCTGTTTGTGTGGGTTCAAAACCTGCTAAAGATAAAATCTGCAAGTGAACATCAGAGTCAAAATCTGTTTCTCTTGGACTGTGTAAGTTTCAAACCTGCTAATGATAACATTTTTTATTCTATGAAATCATGCCTTGACATTGACTCATCTGAGAGCTTCATCCCACTGGTCTTAGCCAAGTAGACATTGAAACAGAGTCAAAATCTGTTAGGAGGATAAACTGAGCCTGAAAGTGAGTTGTAAATATGGATCCTATGAGCCTACAAAGATACAAGTCTCTACAGCAGAATTTTGTTTTGTTTTGCCAGCTGATAGCTGAGGCACGAGGCTAACTTAGAGTTTAGTCTATGAGCAAATTAGGTGAGGTGATGCACGCTTCTTGCTTCTGCCCACCTCGTGTTCGAACCTTTCTCATCTTTAGTACTCGACTCTGGTCTCAGTTTTTGCAATCCTATTCTAAAAGAATGTTTAATAGAGATTGTAATGAAGCCATAAGACCATTTTACTGCAATCGATCATCAAGATGCTCATCTACATGCATCAACGAAGCCTTGTGGATCAAATATGGAACACACATTTGTACCACATGGCAGTGGGATGAAAGCTATAGAAACCCTAAAGCATGATTTGAGGCATTTGTGCTCAGGATGTGGAGCCATGTCACATGGAGCTCAGAGATGTTCTTGGACACAGAAAAGTGCATTTACAAACACCGTATAAAGCAGATGTTTGGGAGCACGAGCCACAACATGAAAGTACACATGAGTCAATGTCAAGGTGTGTTCACCCAGGAAAAACACATATATGATTCATGAGGAAATGTCGGGGTCTGATTTTTTCATAAAATGAAAAAAAATGTTATCATTGGCAGGTTTCAAACCTGCGCAGTCCAAGAGAAACAGATTTTGACTCTGATGTTCACTTGCAGATTTTATCTTTAGCAGGTTTTGAACCCACACAAACAGATTTAGATTCTGTTGTATTAACTGCTTAGATATGAGACCAGTTGGATGCAGGTTTCAAACCTGCCAGTTGTGACATTTTTTTAAATATGAAATCACACCTTGAAATATGCTGATGGTTGGTTCGCTTGCAAGCTGATCAAAGTTGTATTTGGCCAAGTGGTTGTCATGACAGAATCAAAATCTGTTTCTATTGGAATGCAACAGGTTTGAAACCCATTGAATGTCACATTTTTTCTATGAGAACATGTCTTGAACATTTTCTCATAGACAGCATCTCAGACATTGATCTTCATTGGTCTTAGTCAAGTTGTCACCAGAGTTAAAATCTGTGTCTCTTAGACTTTGCAGATTTGAAACCTGCCGATGATTGTATTTTTAGTCTATGCAATTACAATCTGATATTTTCTCATGGATAGTTTTCTTCAAAACCCATCATAAATACTCTTTTCCATATCATTGCCACAATAGATTTAAAACATGTTTCAATCAAAGCCTACAGATTTGCAATCAGTCAAATGATGCATCTCTTTTCCATGCTGCAATATGCTCAATTGAATATTTGCTCATGGACAGTTTCTCAGACTTTGATCTTCATTGTTGCTAGTTCAGGAGTCATCAAAGTCAGAATCTGATTTTCCTGTACCAAACAGGTCAAAAACATGTATCACTCAGCATATTTCAAGCATGCACAGTTCAAGAGAAACAGACTTCAATTCTGTTGCAACAACCACTTGGCTAAGACTGGTTATAATGAGTTTTTGAGACAACCATCTACAAGCAAATGCTTGAGGTATATTACTTTTACTCATACATTGTTCAGCTTTAAGTGTGTGGTTTGATTCCTTCAGAATCCACTTTTATTGTAAGCTTCACTCTTCTGTAGTCTGGATTAGTGTTCCCTTTCAGATCCTTTGGTCTGTATACTTTTCAAACTCTACACGCTCAGAAGGTCTGTCTTTGTCGATCGCAAATCCCTTTGAGCATTAGCTGACTTTGTGTCATTCATGATCCTCACTCAGACCCCTGCCTTCTTGCACCAGTATGGCAAATTCAGACCTTCCCATGCACATAACAAATAAAAAACCTAACAACACTATTTTGATTCATGACCAAAGTCTTGATGCAAACTTGGAGGGATAAGTAAAGAAACAATCTAATTTTTTCTAAAGGTCTTGACTTGGTTGAAGAAACAGAAGAGCAGGTTACACATGAAACCTTCAAGTTTGATCTTAATGACCTGGGGAAGTAGAAAAAATACAAATTTATTAAGGCTGAGATTCTTTATTGTGCTTATTCAAGTGGTTCCCAGAGTCAAAATATATTTCTCTTAAACTAAGCAGGTCTGTAATCTGTATAATGATGTGTATCGAAAGAACTGACAAAATGCAAATAAATGTGCCATGAGAATTCACTTTTGAGCGAGTTCATTGGAAGTACATTCAACTGAGCTTAGCCAAGCAGTTGATACAACAGAATCTAAATCTGCCTGTGTGGGTTCAAAACCTGCTAAAGATGAAATTGCAAGTGATCACCAGACTCAAAATCTGTTTCTCTTGAACCATGACAGGTTTGAAACCTGTCAATGATAAATTCGTTTTTCTACAAAAATATGTCTTGACATTTCCCCATGGAGTTTGAAATCTGTCAAATGGTACATTTTTGCTATTAGAACATGTCTTAAATATCTGCTCATGGACAGCATCTCAGACATTGATCTTGATAAGGAAATGTCAAGGTGTGATTTCATAGAACAAAAATGTTGTTAGTAGCAGGTTTCAAACCTGCACAGTTCCAGAGACACAGATTTTGAATCTGGCGACCACTTGACCAAGATCAATAAAGATCAATGTCTGAGATACCATCTATGAGCAAACATTCAAGATATGTTCTTAGAGAAAAAATGTGACATCCCACAAGTTTCAAACTCGTTGCGCTCCAATGTAAACAGATTTTGATTCTGTGATCACAGCCACTTGGCTAAACACAACCATGATCAGCTTGCAAGCAAACCAACCATGAGCAAATTTCAAGGTGTGTTTTCATAGAAAATGAATTGTATCACTGGCAGGTTTCAAACCTGTGCAGTCCAAGAGAAACAGATTTTGACTCTGGTGATCAGATGGCAAATTCATCTTCAGTAGGTTTTGAACCTGCGCAGACAGATTTAAATTCTGTTGCATTAACCGCTTAGCTAAGATCAGTGAGATGCACTCCCAAATAATGCCCATGAATAGTTTCTCAGACACAGATCTTTACTGGTCTTAGTCAAGTGGTCAACAGAGTCAAAATCAGTTTCCATCAGACTGTGCATGTTTGAAATCTGCCAACAGTGATGTCATTTTGTTTTTATAAAAAACACATCTTGTTATGACTCATGTCACACATGTGGCTTCCCTTTCTTGACTCATGCCTTCTGCACATTATGTTCTTACCATTGGTCCATTCCAAATATTCTTGGTCTCATTCCCATTTTGATAATCCAACTGGTCTTAGCCAAGCAGTTGATACAACAGAATCTAAATCTGTTTGTGTGGGTTCAAAACCTGCTAAAGATCTATTTGCCAAGTGATCATGAGAGTCAAAATCTGTTTCTCTTGGACTGTGCAGGTTTCAAACCTGCCAGTGATAAAATTCATTTTCTATGAAAACACACCTTGAAATTTGCTCATGGTCAGTTTGCTTGCAAGCTGATCATAGTTGTATTTAGCTAAGTGGCTGTTATAACAGAATCAAAATATGTTTCCATCAGAGTGCAACAAATTTCAAACTTGTTGAATGTCATCAGAATTAAAATCTGTTTCTCTTTAGCTGTGCAGGTTTGAAACCTACCAACAACAATATTTTTATTTTATGAAATCCAAAACGGTGGAACTTGATGAATCACGAGTTAATGCAAAAGACACATATCATTATACAAATTACAAACCTGCTTAGTTCAAGAGAAATATATTTTGACTCTGGCAACCACTTGTTGAATAAGCACAATAAAGAATCTCAGCCTTGATAGATAGATTTATATTTTTCCTTATTCCCCAGGTTATTAGGATCAAACTTGAAAGTTTAATATGGTAATCTGCTCTTCTTCTTCTTCAACCAAGTCAAGACCTTTGGAAAGAATTATATTATTCTTATACTTATCCTTCCAAGTTTGCATCAAGACTTTGGTCATATATTGAACTTTGTGCCAAAAACACACTGTGAGATCCTTTCATTGTCAGTTTTCACTCATGGACCTACTGTGGTGGTCTGCTGTCAGCACTTTTTTAGGGCAATTGTTAGATAAACAGGTCTTGAAGTTAAGAGCCCCAGCAGAAGTCTGTGTCTTTTGCAATAAGAGCAGTATAAAAGAATCAACAGTGATCATGCTATTGGAAGAACTGACAAAATGCAGATAAATGTACCTCGAGGACTCACTTCTGAATCATTGGGTTCATTGGAAGTAAATCTAACTGGTTTTAGCCAAGCAGTTGATATAACAGAATTTAAATCTGTCTGTGTGGGTTCAAAACCTGCTAAAGATGAAATTATCAAGTGATCACCAGAGTCAAA